AGTTGTTGATGAATGTCTGTAGTTTATTGGAAATCACTTTCGTAACGCCCCAAGTCTCTGAACCACCACACAGAAGCACTGACTTGACATCGGTGTTAAAAATCCGGATCTTGTTCCACATGCTGAGCGGAGTGCAGAAGATCTCCACACTGGTTTCAGGCTAATGAACACCTGTCTTGCTTTCCCGATTCTGACTTTGACGTCCTCGTCTGTGCCTGTGGCGCCTGTAGTTGAAACAGTGCTTCCTAGATAAGTGAAGGAGGTTACTTCCTTTAAGTTTCTCCCGTTGATGGTGATTGGAGTTTGTTGTTGTTGTTGGAGTTGTTGGTGCGGTATCTTCATCACTTCTGTCTTCTCTATATTCACCTGAAGTCCCGTCTTCGCTGCCCTGTCTCTTCTGTCAACTTGTTAGTTTTCGCCTGTAGATCTTCAAGTTTGTGCCACAAGACATCAGACACAAGTCATCGGCGAAATCCAGCTTACATTGATTAGTCAACTGTTTTTATAGTTATAACGAAGCAAATACAATCAAATATTTTTTTTACAAATAAAAATCTGTTTTGCTAACAAGCTTTTCTTACTGTTAAAATTCGTGTTGAACAATGGAGTATTTTTGTCTAGAATGGATAATCACCCAGCTCTCATTACTGAAGACCTAATCAGTATATAGATAAAGTCACTTAATATTCTCCATGACTTCTGAAAGTTTTGAGAGAGGAATACACGAGTTGAAATTCAAGTTATCGTATTAGTAGTGTCTAATGATGGAGATGGATTGGACATACACTGAGAAGACCGTCTGGGGATATTACGCAACAGGCGAGGTCATCGAGTCAAATCCAAATAGGAAAAGACGATTTGGGCGTCCGAGGTGAAAGTAACATGGAGGAGATCATGTGGGAAAGAAATGAAAGCTATTGGAGAGTCGTGGAGCCAGGTTAAAAAGACTGCAGAGAAGATAGCGAAATGATGACGTGCAACTGAGGCCCTACGTTCCACTAGGAACCCAAAGGACAAATAAAATATCAAGAATAGTGTACATTAATGAAATACTATGGAGGAGTGGTGTACACTTCAAAGATTATGTTTTATCAAACTCCTTGTATAGATAGAATATATTCGAATAAGGGTGAATTTATCGTAGATTAGTTTAAACTATCCAACTTCCCTCCTTATGCTGTGAATGTGAATTAAAACATCATTCAAAACCTCAGTGGTGTGTCGTAGACAACAAGGAACTCATTCTGGTAACAAACCAACGAGGCAAGAACCTTTCACCCAACAAATATGCAGAATAAAAGAGTGGAGATGAATTGGATAAAGCATACACTGAGAAGGCCAACTGGGGACATCACACACCAGGTCAGGCTGTCGAGTGGAATTCAAATGGGAAACGATGAGTTGGGCGTTCACGGTGAGGGTGACATGTAGGAGTTGGTGTAAGGAAGAAATGAAAGCTTGTAGGTAGTGGTGGGGCGAGTCTTCCAGTAAATAAAACTGCCACTTTTAGTTAAGGGTATATTTAAATGTCCTTATCTAAATATCTTTCAATATCCTCGAAAATCAGTATCTTTTACAAATACTCTGTGTTTATCAGCATCTAGAATATAACTTGATTAATTCACATTAGGATTTCTTGAATGTCGGCGACCAAGAGATTTGTCAGTAACAAACAGTTTTAAGTAGAATAGGATAGTGAGGGACAACAAGTGAAAAAGAAAAAGTGAGCTATCACGAAATAGCTATCCACTGATGTGTTTCGCCTCACTTTATGCTGGAGTAGAAACTAGATTCAAGCAGTTAAATCGTTGTTCGAGACATGGATACTACAAATCAAATCAACTTGAACCTAAGACTATGTCACTACTGTGTCGAATGCATCCTGTTATGCTTTCACTTATTTTCAGAAAAAATTATAGTTATAAAGGTTACCTGTCTCAACTGATATACATAACTTTGATACAAATCTTTAAGCGATGATATCGCCTGTCTTTTCAACTATGTATAGTAATGATGTATAGTGGCTGGAAGTGGAATCCAGGATGCGCATTTCGTCCTATTTGGGACTCACCAGTCAGCTGGATGCACCTCCCTGTGGGTTATGTTGTACCCACTGGGACTCGGACTCGAAAGCGATCGCTTCAAATGTGAGAGCTTTATGCACTCACTACATAGTTAAAAAGACAGGCAATATCAAGGCATCTGCACAGGAGCTCATATGCCAACAGATACTGATCAATTCGGTCCAATCAACAACGGTGTAATACAAGCAGTAACACTAAACCTATACCCGTTGCACAAGAGATGGCTATCGTGGGTCGGTGGTGTAGTGGATAACGCTCTCGCGTTTGCAGCGATCGCTCCCGAGTCCAAGTTGCGGTGGGAACAACATCACTCACTGGGAGCCAGCAGGTACATCCAGCTGACTGGTGAGTCCCAAATAGGACGAAATGCGCATCCTGGATTCCACTGCTAGACACTGCTCACCATTACTATTAGCAAAAGCAACTAAACGATTTCTAGTTGGATGAAAAGTTGTATAATTCTTTGAGAATGATGTGTAGACAAAATCAAGGTAGAACCTTGCACACTAATGGATCGGCTGAGGTTGTCAAACTTCACAGCAGCATACTAACAAAAGGTGGACAAATAGGTATCAGAGTAGACAACGTTACGTGAGAGAATAAACAACTTGAAGATGAAAGTTAATGCGAGTATTCAAGCTTAAGGATATGTTGAGGAGTGAATACGTCTGCTCCATAGTGACCGATTTTCAGTTATGGTACCATGAGTCCTCAGTCACTGGTCTCTATAATTTCAAAAACCCCAACTAGGCAATCTACACCTTCATATATATATAGCTAAGACTAACAGTCAGAGGCTTCATCAACTAGTGTCACGTCTTTGTTTGGGCACCGTGAACCGTCTTCCAAGCTAGGGGATGTCTGCGCATGCACAGTGCGTGTCCATGCTATCTCAGTCGACTAAGGTTGACAACCTCGTCAGTCGAATTTTGCCTGTTTTGCCTAGTAACCTTCACTTCACCTCAATATTCTTTACACGGTGATTTTATCAAACGCGAACAATTTCACGGAGATACTTATGATCAACACACCCTGCAACCACTTCCTGTCATCTTCTAACAGCCTTAAGTCGATAGTTGGATATCGTGCCAGTGGGGGTCACAGTTGATGAGTACGAATGCAACACGCTGGCTGGCTGGCTGGCAGGCTGGCTGGCTGGCAGGCTGGCTAGCTGGCTGGCTTCAGGAAGAACAAATCATGTGTGGATCAAATTGCAACGCCACGCTACCCATCATCATAGAACAGAGCATTGAATGATATTCAACTCAACTCAACCTCAACTTCATCGACCTTGAAGAGGTCTTCAGTAGTGTGGACCGAGAAGTAATTTGTCAGGTAGCTGCTTCAACACTACAGTTTCAGTGCCACAAACCTATATCAACCTCATTCAACAGGTATGTACTATATGATGGTGCTACATGCCGAGTGATTGACAATGGAGAGCTCAGTGATTGCTTTGAAGTGAAGACAGGAAGGAGTAAGACGAAGTTACCGCCTACTATCGCCGACGATCTTCCTGATTGTGGTCGACTTGAATGGACTGGATCATGCAGGCAACGGTGAGGATTGAGAAGAGGGGCATGCGCTGTTTGACCGATGAGAAGAGCCAGGAAGATTTGGATTTCGCCTTCGGTGATGATTTATGTCTAATGTCTTGTAGCATAAACTCGAAGATCTACATGCATAAACTTACAATACAAGTGTGAAACTTGAGCACTGTAGTCGAGTGTAAGTCCATCTTAGTCTGTGTATAAGAAATATCACACAGTGAAACAGTAGCATTTACTGGATAACGTTTCGGATACAATTAAGTGTCTGTATTCATATCAGGTAACTCCACAACTTCGAGACAGGCTTTATATATTCCCAGTTTTCTCTCCTTCTCTGTGATGACAAGGGTAGTAGAATTTTCCATATATCTGGGACAGATGCAACATCATTTCGATTGCATGTGTTTGTTGTTGAATATGGACAACAAATTGTGTCCGAAACGTTATCCAGTAAATGCTACTGTTTCACTGTGTGATATTTCTAATAAACAGACTAAAATGGCATAAACTAACAAGTTGGCAGAAGAGGCGATTCAGGTCAGTGAAAGAAGACGGGACTTCGTCCAGGTGAACGTAGAGAAGGCAGAGGTGATGAAGATAACCAACCAACAACAACAACAACAAGCACCAATCACCATTACGGAATAAATCTAAAGGAAGCAGTCTCTTTCAGCTACCTACTTACCTACCTACCTACCACCCCACCTACCTACCTACCAACCCACAAACCTACCTACCTACCAACCCACCCACCTACCTACCTAGTCAGCGTCGTTTCAATTACAGGCGGCGACACATGCATAGATGAGGATGTCAAATCTGGGATCGGAAAGAAAGTAAGACAGGCCTTCCTGCATCAGTCTGAAATAATGACTGCAGGGATCTTTTGCACTCAGCATAGAGCGTGAACAACATCTGGATTCTCGACACTAACATCAAGTCAGTGCTCCTATGAGAGGGTTCAGAAACTTGGAGCGTCACGAAAAGCATTTCCAACAAACTACAGACATTCATCAGCAGCTGTCGCTAACAATCACTTAACGCTCACTTTCCATCAGCCATGCAGGATAGTGTTCAGAGATGCAGTGAGATGATACAAGGTTTGTGCGGCTTATTTAAACCACCTCTACAATAGCAGATGAATTAGTAAATACACATGGAGGTTGTCAGGATGAACAGATTGCAGAGAAAAGAGTGGAATAACGGCGTGCTACTGAATTCCTATGTTCAACTAGGAACCCAAGAGGAAAATAATAATAATAATTACAGTAAGTGATTTATCGGGTACTATAGCTCTACTTGGTTATCAGGGTATCATATTGGTATACAGCTAACTTGATTAACTATGCTGTATGTTTTATTTACAGATAATGTTCAATGAACAAATCAAGGGATAATTGAATTCATAATTGTAGCAATGCTCAGCATACATTTGTGTTATCCATTCAATCGAATACTATATGAAAGAAACATTGATTACACTTTATACTATACTATTTTAACACGTATTTTTCAAGGTTTTATCATTCTGTTTATTTTCTTCAATATTATATACTTTATAATAATTTTTATAAATGGTATATATTATATGATATGTAATGATAAAGTTATTGTATATACCGAGAAGCATAACAGTGTATACCCTGTTGATAATAGTATGAATCATACTGGATATTATGAATACTTACTTACACCGAATACAACATATATTCATACAATCCTTTCACCAAAAAACCAATGTAATTCATTATCATATAATAATGAAACAAATATTCTACTATTTATTAAATCAACAATTGATCAGTTTGAATTACGCCAATCATTACGTAATACATGGGCTAATTATAAATGTTATATAAAATATGGTATTAGAGCATATATTTACTTTACTCTTGGTAGACAGAATATATCAGCATGGAATACATCATCATTAATACAATCTAGAATATTTTATGAACATAAAATATATCAAGATATTCTACAATTTGATTTTATTGAAAGTTATTATAATGTAACACGAAAATTGATTGGAACCATTGAATACGCTACTTTACATTGTTTTAATGCAAAGTTTATTTTATTAATTGATCAAGATTTTATTGTTAATCCAATGAATTTAGCAAAATATCTTTCAAATATTAATACTATTGAATATACTAGATATGTTGGAGGTTATATAATTCAACATGCTGTACCATTTCGAAATGAAAATAGTAAATGGTTTATTTCGAATAGAAATTTCCCATTCAGTTGGTAGGTGGGCTCCTATGTGTATGCCACGATATTGCCAGTTATTCCTGTTATCCTTTCAGTCGTGGATTGGGCATTAGCTGACTATTGAGTGATAAATAAAGCCGAACCTAAATATACTATATACTAAATATATATACTTCAATATATTGGACTTAAGTAGAGTGGCTTTATTCCACCCTCTTGTATTTGATGAGATTTTACTAGGCGTACAGTTGTGCCTCACCTCCACAGCCTTCAAGTTTCAGGACAAAATATACAGACAAACAGAAACAGTAGCAATGGGATCACCAATATCCCTAATCGTAGCAGACATATTTATGGATAGTTAGGAAAGCATGGCTTTACAAAAGTTTAGTCCTCCACCTAAGATATGCTGGCGATATATGGATGACACGTTTACTGTGTTGAAATAGGAACATATCGACAATTTCCTAATACATATAAACTCAGTAGTGGACGCAATCCAATTCACTCACGAGAAGGTAGAAAGTGAACCAGAAGAATTACAGGATAAAAAGGAAGGACAGACGGTAGCTTGGATACTACTGTCTACAGAAGACCAACACATTCCAACAGGTATCTAGACTTCAAATCATCCCATCAGATGTCAGCTAAGGCAGGTTTAGTCAAATGTTCAAGTGATAGAGCTAGAAAACTGACTAGTCACAGAAACAACCTAAACAATGAATTGAAGCACATAAAAGAAGCACTAATAGTTAATAATTATCTTCCACAGTTTATCACGAAATTCCTACATATTCACAAGAAACGAAAAAATAACAGTCACACGGGTTCGACTAATAAGGACAACACGAGTGGAAATGAGTTCACAGCCTCCATTGTGTTACCGTAGAAGGTGTGCACATCAGAAACTTTACATAAGATCCTCAACAGAGCTGGAATTGGAGGGGCATTTAAACCTACAAACTCACTCCGAGATAAACTCTGTCAGCTGGTTTAAAGATCAGATAGAACCAATTAAGCAAAATAATATAATCTATCAAATGCGATGTATGAACTATGAGGTCAAGTGCATAGGTCAAACTAGCCCGGTTGGTCGGGGTCAGTTAGAATAGCCGAACATAGGAATTTATCTAAATATAGAATAACAGACCCAAATAAGATCAATAATGTAGAAAAACAGTCGGCTGTCGCTATGCATGCACACACACACACAACCACACAATAGGGTTAAATAAAGCCACTCTACTTAAGTCCAATACATTTAGGTAAAGAGAGAGAGAGATTGATTACTGAATTTTTGTTCATCGAATCAACACGCAACACATGTGATAGAAATGACACAACACTTACATCAGAGATATGGAAAGTTCTACTACCGATAAAGACAACTCATATGAGGTGATGTAACTATAAAAATCGAATGTCGAAAGTGGTGTGATTACAATCATATGATGATGAGTAATGATAATTTCTGTTCTAAACATCATCAAGTAAATAATACTGTATCACGTGGTGTGTTATAAATCAAATAAATCAGTGTAATATTTTGAGGGAGTTGTGGAGATTTGAAAATATTTCAAGTTGTTATTCATCGTAGACTGACATCATTTGGAGGAACAAAGGAAACTTGGGATCACTGGACAGCTGTTTCGTCCTAATATGGAACTCTTTAGCAGTGCGCACTAACGACGTATTGGCCACGGAACCTGAAGTTCACGGGTTCGATCCCTGGCGGAGTCGTTGGTGTGCACTGCTGAGGAGTCCCATACTAGTCGGACGAAACAGCTGTCCAGTGCTCTCAGGTTTCCTTTGTTCCTTCAACTGATGTCAGTCTACAATGAAAAACAACTTGAAATCTAATATTTGTAATAAAATGTCACTTGTAACATCTCCCTCGATTTGTATGCGCAGAAACAAAGGCTTCTTCTCCAATATAATGAATTCTTGTTTAAGACCAATATGTCTGATGTTAGTTTTGGTGGACTAATCGAATATCCGTTTTCACTTAAAATGTCACACATACATATTAGTTCTTTTCCTATACACTCCTTGTAACAAATCAATCTTACTCTATAAGTCAGGTACCTGATTATGTTACATTTATAATACATCCATACGAAGCTAAGAAATTGTGTACACTGTGCCTTAGACGTTAATTTTCTGTATATGCTTCTCAGTATAAAGCCATCTTTGTTGCTTTTCATTAGTACATCAAGAAAATGTATCATTTTCATATGCAGAATGAATTGATGGATGAGCGCTTTTGAGATGGTTCAGAATAGAATGAATGCATTGGGAGCTATCAAACACTAAGAAAGTATCATCCATTTATCGATAATAAAACTTCAAATTAACATTTTAATCTTTTAAGGACCACTCCATCAACTTTTCTGTACAGATTATTGATGAAGATGAACTGGACAGTCATTGTACGTTTTCGCAATAGTTCTCTCCAAATCATAATCAAAATCCAGTATTTAATCTCCTGTCTAATAATGGTTCACAAATATAGTCGAGGGTTTCCATTATAGTGAGGTTAGTAAACATGTAGGAATTCCCCATGCATCTGCTTAAAAACATTCAAGTTATTTTTTATTTTGTCAACAAACCGGAAAGTATCTCTTACGCTATATATTTTGCTAACTGGTCACACAAACATTGATATAATCGTACTAACCATTTGGTGATAGCATGGTAAGGCGAGTTGAGTTAGGGTTAGGATAGGGTGAAGAGGCATCTCAGGTTTATGTATATTTAGTAGGTCATGCATCCGTGGGATCGTGCTGTCTATAAGCTTCAAATTTTTAAATAAGGTTGATGAGAAATGTATCCATCATCTTTCATTTTCTCTAGTTGAACAATTACATCCGTTTCTCCCTTTCTAGTTCAGTCTTTCATTGTTTTAGTCTTGCAATATAAAATCCATTTTCTGTACATAATCAACTCTGTGCTGCATAATTACTACTTCAATTCCTTTAATCAGATATTTATGCAATTTTGAGTACAAGAGAAAGTAGTATGAATTGTGGATGTAGTTTAGGAAAGTAAAGCGACATTTTAACCAGAAATATCAAAACGTGCTGTAGCAATCAATCCAGAATAATTTTACCATCAGAAATTATTTTACTGGATGTTGAATAAACTTCTATCCATATCTTATGAGAAATTATTGAGTAAGCGTTGCTTATGAAAGCAGTTACAATTACTGAATAAGATTACTGCAGTAACCAGAGACTATAGACAATCTATGAACAACATTAATCTTGTATACTGTAATATTGGAATAAATCACCTGATTATCGGATGCAACTAAACTTATCCCTCTTCTATGGTGGTCAGTGAATAAAAGGGTATGCATAAACCCTTTACGCAACAGATCAGTCAGCTCTTGCTTAAGAACTGAAAGACATGAGTGAGATGGGATTGATAGCTACACCTACACCAAAGTCAGGAATTGTTGCAGCTCATCCGAACCATAGAGAACAAGAACTGTGGTGTCAGCGAGACGTTTTGTCAGGTAGCTGGCACTTAACTTTGTAGGAACTTGGAATGCTTAATGGAGCCTTTGTGAATACGATTCAGCTGGCTCTCTGCCCCAGCAACATTGACCTAAGTGTCTTCTGCCTCATGATCAGGCTAAAAAGACCCACCTAATAAAGGGGGGTTTCTTTAAGAACTATGTATACCAAAGCACTATAGAGCATGCGGTCATACCAACTTATACGAGGCTCATTTATTATCGATCGAGTTGAGATGGTAATCGGGGAACTGACTATATTGTTGAAGAAGAGTCCTAACACCCTATGATAAAGCCATTCTTGTATTCTTCCTTAGGACTCATCTACATATTTTGTGTGATAATCATTTTGTTATCAGTCTGTTAAAAAGGCTTCTTAAGATATTGCGCAAATGGCTTTTACAAGAAAGACAGGAACCTCATCTACAGCTGGAGATTAGCCAGTTCTGCTTTTAGCCTGTGAAACGTAATCTGTCTGTAGGATCGCTGACACCTGGCCGAAAGTCTGTGCTGATTGTTTATAAGGTGAGACAGTAGGTGTTTGAGCGTGAAAAAGGTTGTCATTCACTAGGCCAAGTCATCCTAAAACAGTCAGTCGCTCCGCTGGATGGGAAATGTGTTTCAAATGTAGTTGTAACGTCTTCAAAATCATTCACTATTCAATTTAAGTGAGAAAGATTGATAGAAGGGAGGAGGTAGTCAGTTTATTAATCGGCACCATTGGATAAAGCATAAATGCGTTTCGTTAGCATATGTTGGTACCTCAAACATTCCCTGCCATCGTCAAGAAGATCATCCATCTTGAGAACATAAACCTGCAGTGCTTATGTCGTAGTTCTACTAGTTCTTCCGCATTACAAGAGTAGAACGAAAATATTGAATAACTCTATAAATGTGCGCTAGCAACTGCTTTACTAACAACCCATTCCGGTAATCGATTTGTGGAAGATCTTACCACCAATTAAGTCACAGAAAAAAACTATAGAACTATGAAACATCAGACCAGAATGTTGTGCTATTAGGTTGAAAGATAAATTCTGTTTGAAGTGTCATCCATTAAATAATTCCATAACACCCCATAGACTAATCTAATAAGGAATTACATTGAACCGCAGTACCCATTTTCTATACCCACTTGCCGCGGTTCCCAGCAATGCAAAGACACAGTTCGAAAATTGTGATATTCCCATGAAATCTTGCCAGGATTTCAAAACCATAGGCATTGGAAGGAGAAGAAACAAGTGACTGATTTGTTAGTTTGTCCAAACAATCTGTCAGGGAATCCGAGGAACATCTCCCTCAAAACGTATTAAATTACAATACGAATGACCCAACAGGAGATACGATAAGTAAAGGCACATCTGACCAGGTGGAAGAGGAACAGTACTCAACTAACCAGTGAACAACAGATAGCTCTTAAGATACTGAAGAATATAAATAACGTTGGTATAATTCCAGCTAAAATCGGCGCACCACAATAGTCAAGGACAAAGAGAGCTACGTCAAAAAGATGGAAGACTTAC